AGCTATTCACAGCAGCCGTGTATGGCTATTATTAGCTGTACATCGGCTGCATTCGTCCCACTTCACCTCCCTTTGCCTCTGGATCTGCTGAGGTCAACGTTCAGCACTTCTATCAGTCACGGCACCCTTTCAAAGTATGCAAAATCTTGGGGCACACCAATCTAAAATGTAAAAACAAAAATGTAAAAATGCAAAAAACAATGTGTGGCTTTATCCAAGATAGGGGTTTGGTAAGGATTTACCTCATTTCATGTCAGAATTCCCCCTTTTACATCACAGTTCCCCTTTGCATTAGGAGCCTCATTCTCAGTCCCTCTTTTTCACATAAGAAGTCCTAAGCATGATGAGATCAGGAGGCAGAGCAAGCATGGACAGAAGCAAACTTCAATACTTTTCTAAATGGATCCCACCATCCCTGGATTAGGGTAATTCTTTTGCATGGTGCTGGCGGCTTACTATTTCAAGGCAACCCACCCTGCAGCACCCTGGTTGAGTAAGGCTGATCTAGAAATCTAAACTATATGCACTTATTTATCAACCATATAATGCAGACCCATGTATCAAAACCTGCACATATTTGGGGTCCCTATACCCAGGATTAATACGAGAAAATAATTTTGTGAAACATATGTGGAATAACATTAATTATGCAAAATAGGTTGTGTATTAGGCAAACTAAAATTGGCACCATATGTGCTAAAAAAAGAATGTGAAAATGTTGTAACATAAAGCAGCTTCAATGTCGTTGAGTAAACTTGCTGCATACCATTCCATTTTTTTTTCTGGTCAAGAAGGATTTGCCCACCCCTATACTTGTCTAAGGTCTATAGTCATTTATACTGGGAACTAGAACTTTGTGAGTGTCAGGATAATGGAGAACCTGACGCTTGGGATCAAAAAGTGATGGCTTGCAAAACTTAAGGTCACAACAAGGACCCATGAGCTTCTTTGCTTCTAGTCAGCATTGCTGAACTGACTAGAGATATGTGGTTACTTGAGGCACTAGGATGAGCTTTTAGATAATATAGGAACAAGAATAATACAATACATTCTAATACATACTTTTTTTCTAGTACACGAGGACTTCAAGGATGAATATCCTGATTTGTACACAATATTTTAGAACCACCAGAGAAACTAGAGACAGCACACCCCTATACTATTAATCAGTGGCGTTCCGAGGCTGGGTGTCACCCGGGGGCGGGGACCGGGTGACCCCCCCGCCGTGACGTCATCATGCACACACGTGATGTTGCCGCACATGTGTGATGACATAATCGCGCATGCGCATTGGTCTTTTTGACGCCTGCCGGCGGCCATCTTAGTGATGGACGCAGGCAGAGAGAGGAGGGGACGTTCACCTGGCGGGATAAGGTATGCCGCCGGGTCCCCTCTCTCCTGACACTGTCAGGCTCTTGGTCGGTGACCGAGTGCCTGACATTTCATAAGGGGTGACACCAAAATGACTGTCAGTCATTTTGATGTCACCCCTTCAATGGTGGCACCCGGGTGCGGGCCGCACCCCCCTTGTGACGCCACTGCTATTAATCAACACCAAACAATTTCAATGGGGCCTTTAAGGTGACACACGGATTGAACCGGACATATCCATATACATATTAACCTATTAAATTGTAAGGTTATTTAGATAGCTTTTATTAAAATTCACATGATATGAAACATGTACAATAAAAACATAATTCCATCCATAGAATTTTGTCCCACTGCATAGCGCCCCCCTGGATCCCACAAGCACATGTCATACATTTACATATTCCCATGATTTTCTCATATCTAAAAATAACAATATTTCATTATCATATGGTGATAGTAATTATCTTAATTTCATGTGTCAAATGTACAGTGAGTCCAGCCTTCAATGCGTTTCACAGAGAGGGGGAGAGAGAAAAAGGACGAGCAGGGACGGCCAAGCCTGGAGTATCCAATGACCTTCAGTGATCACCTGCAAGAATACATATGATAAAAATACCTACCATAGTAAAACATTATAAATATATAAGGGGACTCTTAAACTACCTGTGAAAAAGGTAAAGCATCCGCCCTAGTGGTACCATAGTACCCCCTTTTCTAAATATTACCATATCTTTTATCTTTATTTGTTATGCCTTAAACAAACAAACTATGATCCATATAATACATGACGAACCTTAGGCATGAAGAAGAGCCACTCTACATTCAAAATATAAACAATCCATCCTGTACCTCAGCGTTGTCCATAAATGGTTAGTTTTCAATTCCTCCCAACCATGCCATCCATAGGTGACCTCCCCCTCTCCCCATACAAATGCCCTCTCTGAGTTCAAAAAGACCCAGTCTCAGTTTTTTGTTGACATCTTGCAGCGGACATCTCCTTCTCCTGGCCGCACTTGTGCAGTAAATCCACGTTGACATCTAACTAAGAGGCTCACCTACCATAATCTCCCGGCTGGGAAGAAAGTTAAGACCTTCCAAATCTTAAGTCATCCAGTGGCTGCTGCTCTAATCCAACCCCCACCCCCAGCAAGCGAAACCCCACCTAGCCTCCTCCAATCCAAAAACAGTATTTTTTTTCATATGCTCCTCAGCTCCATCTAGTGGTCATAATGGGTTATTACTTTACATTTGACCTGAAAAGAAAATGCACAAAGAACGTCAATTTTTTTTCTCTACTCACACAGAAAGAATGTTCACAGAGATTTGCAAGGTGAAAGGCTCTGCAAAATGTTTATACATAGATTTCCAACTAGAAGAAAGTCACAATTTCCTGAAAAAGGCACATGGAATATCATCCTACACAGATCCTCAAGGGATATAGGGGAAGGGTAGATGAGTTAGGGAATTTGTCATCAGGTTGATGGGCAAAAGCGGGATTCTTTTGAAATCAGTTTGAGACGCTTCTGAGATCATTCAGAATTCATTGATGGTGTAGTTCACATACATTTTACCTACATCAGACTTTTGCATTTCCATAGACTTGTATAGGGAGAGAAGCAGTTCTGAAGTGAATAAAAGCCCTCTGAATCAGAAGAGGAGTTGTTCCTTAAAGCAAACGTGTTCCAGGACAATGGCTTAAAGAGTATTAAAACCAGAGACATCTGCTGTCAACCATTTACAAATGATAGTTTCCTGGATGTCTTTGGATTTATTATTCTCTAAGCTGCTGACAGGAATGCAGCACATTGGGTTACAATGAAGTCAGAACTCCTGATTAGGGATGAGCTCAGGTTCGGTCAGAACCTGAAGGAATCTGTCAGTGGCGGGCAAATGAACTTCAGCCATGGCATGCACGCTGCTGCATGTAAACAAAGAGGTGGGATGCTGGTGACTTCACTGACCAAATATGGCCACACTGCCATATTTGGTCAATGCCATTAACCGAATATGGCTGTGTGGCCATATAGGGTCAAGGATGTTGCCAACATCCCACCTCTTTGTTTACATGCAGCTGCGGGGCAGGAAATTTCTGGTCACAGCTAATTGAGCCAGCATTGGCAGCTTCCTATATGACAGCAAAGGAAGCTTGAATTTTCAGGCAACATCAACAGCATTCAAAAATGTTTTTTTGAAGACTACACTTATGTTAGACATACTGTTGGAATGTAGAACATTTTCATGTACGAAAACTGCCGAACATCTATCTTCAAATATTGAATCTGAGATTGCATGGGTCATCAAAGAAACCAACTGTGTTTTAGAAGTGCTGGAGGCCATGGTATTTATCCCGGCAGGAGGCATGGCAAAGGAGGTGATAAAGGTGAGATTCCTTCATCTGAACAGGACATCACGCATTACACACTGTGGTGTTGATTGGGGTTATATGCGCATTGGGAAGACACCCTCAAGATATCCTGCATTGCATATGAAGGTGGCTCTGCTATTTGGCTTTGAAGCGGAGCTGTATATTACAGAGACTTTATTTGTTTATATACATTTTTTGTCAGCACAATTAATTGTCATTCACAATTATTTTCGTTTGTATTTTTGTTTACCCACCTGAATTTTTTCACGCATATGATTTGTCACTTAATGTTATTAATGCACATGAAGCTGTAAAAAAGTGAAGGACTTTTTTAATGTGTATAGATTGATCCACTTTATTTTTATACACTGAGACACTTAGAAACACTTGGTTAAAAATCACCTCCTAATCGTACACATGTTTATTAATTATTTATTAACGTTTATTTATTAACGTTTCCATACATACTTAGATATCTCAGTCTGCAGTATTTTAAAATAATTCCCCAAACGGGATCATCTGCAACATAAATTGATGTTCCACAACATTTGATAATACTTCAATGATTTCATCTTGAATTTTTTTTACTTACAGTAAATAGTGAACAGAACGTTTTGGTTTTTCAGGTAGCTGTTTTAACATTTGGTCATATCTAGCTATGACCTCTATACATTTCCTTTCTTCACTCCTTTTAAATCCTCCATGTGGCCCCTGAAAGGAAGGTTATATATAGCCAAGGTTAATGTGACATAAATTAAACGATCTAAAACTTGTCTCCAGAAGTTTTTTTGCATTTCTTTTTTCATTTTCTTCACTAATAGTGCTATGCATTCACCATTGTAGTATTATCATACACACGTGTAAGTGTTGTTGAGATTTTTCATGAGCTATTACTCTATTTGCTAAACGGCGTTAATCTCTGATCCCGCTTACCCCGCTACATTGTATGATGGTAAACTACGATCAGCAAACAGCCAACATGGCTCACAGTAGGCACTATCTAGCTTTGATGAATAGCAAAGCCATGTACAAGGTAATATTACGCCAGCTTTTGTTGCGGTAGTATAATAGGTTTTTGAAAAACACTGTTCTCCTTGTTTTGGGTCTCTTGGAAATCTGTATCAGGTTTACGAGAAACGTGTGACACAATATATCTTTCAGCATCAGTTATGTCTAAAGGGAATTGGCCTCTATCGATGGGAACAGTTTTTGCTATTACCTGTTCCAAATTTTACAATGTCAGTTTTCTCTGTCAATACCTCACAAACATGTATGTACGACTTCTACTTACGAATGAAGATCCCAGACTGTTCCGCTAGTTGTAATGCTACCGTGCTCGCGCCGACGTTCGTAGTACTGTACCTCCTGTACATCACAGCAAGTTGTTCGATGTGCAGATGAGGAGTGCATGCCTCTTCTTCCGGGTCTGGTACTGTACATTACAGGAAATTGTACAAACATCTGTCCAAGTTGCATTTAACCACTTAAAGACCACTGTGTTTACACCCCCTTCCTGTCCATAATAGATAGATATAATGCCCTCATTAACAGCTGTAGATATCAAGAGGTGCCAGGATGCTCTGTTGGTGGGACTACAACCCCAGCATGTCTTGATGATGATGATGTGATGATCGGAAAGTTGGGGGCAGAAGAGTTACATCCAACAGCAAAGCCTGACAACTCATGATATCTACAGTTGTTGCAGCTGTAGATATCAAGAGGTGTCAAGCTGCGCTGTTGGTGGGACTACAACCCCCAGCATGGCTTGAGCAGCTATAACTCTTCTGCCCCAACTTCCCAACCATCTGGTGATCATGGTCAGGAAATGGGGGCAGAAGAGTTATAGACACACAAGGCATGTTGGGGTTATAGTCCCACCAACAGTGCAGCCTGACACGTCATGATATCCACAGCTGTTAAGAAGGACATTATATCTATGAGCCAGATTTCATCCAGCCTGTTCCTGGAAACTGTGGTGACTGCCGAAGGAATAGCGCAGTGGCCTTCCGGTTTCTCACTCACCTTCTGGTCCTAAATTTGGAAGCTGAGGAGTTCAAAAGATTTGGCTGTTCAGGATGGGATAAGACCACTGTGTGTGTGTGTGTGTGTGTGTATCTAGCTGTGGGCGCTGACTGGAGGACAGATGCAAAGGGCTGGTTGCCGCTGATCTGACACAGGTATGGCGGAGACTGGAGTCATGTCACAATTCAACTGATCATCGGGCTGTTCCACTTCCAAGTTCCAGCATGACTGTTA